TCGCTGCACACAGAGTTGTACGGCCGCACCTCCCAATCCTGGCGAGCAGACATGCAGGCATACGATGACGCACACAGCGATAACGTGTCCCTCAGGGTGGTGTTCTCTTTGATAGAGCAGTGTTTTTTTTTATAAGGCTATTTAAAGATAGAAGGTGTATAACGTAAGGCATAAAATGAAGACTTGAAACTGAAAAAGGCCTATTAAGTTAATTATAATAAATGATGTCGCTATTTATTCCTGAAAAAATCCCAAATAACTTATTGCCATAATCATATTTCACCAATTTTGGGGAATCGATATAAGTCCAATTCACGGTTGTACTTATGCACTTAACTTTAGGTAATATATATGCACAAATTTTTGCTTAATTCCAAACTAGTTAAAGCAAATTAACCAGGGCATAAAAAACAAGTAACCAACAGTGGCAATTTCAGGGATACAGCAAAAACCACGTTTTTAGCAGAGCTAGTGACATACAAGGCAACTAATATGTGCGAATAAGTCCAGTTGAGAAAGTAATGTTTCCATTGTAATGACGAGCACATTATGTTACTGATAGACCAATTAGACCAACGGGAACATTTTTTATTAAGCAAATGACACGAGTTCCTTACTTTCATAGACCCAATTGCTAGTCCTCTATACAAAACATTAGCTCAATATAAAATGTATGTGTGCGTGCGCGTTCGATTCACTGACGAATTAGAATTAAAATTACTTAAAATTTGAATCACACTTGTAACGGATTGCTACACTAGTAAAGTTCTCGAACATGTAGCGGATTGCTACCTTCGTAAAGCCTTGGTTAAAGACTTGTAGCGGATTGCTACCTTAGTAAAGCCAGACCGGTTGAGAATTGTAACGGATTGCTACCTTAGTAAAGCCTGACCGGATTGCATTGTAGCGGATTGCTACGCTAGTAAAGCCTGACCGAAATCTCTATGGCAGATTCTCCAACACCTAGCTAGACTCCCAGAACAGCTAAGCTATAGCTCCACGGATTGCTACGCTAGTAAAGCCTGACTGACTCAGAAATACTGTGGCAGATTCTCCTACATCTAGCTAGACTCCCAGAACAGCTATAGCATAAAGGAAACAGACGTGCAGCACGGAGCACGTTTATTCAGAAAGGAAACAGACGTGTAGCACGGAGCACGTTTATTCAGTAGGATTTGTTTTATTATTATTATTATATTAAATGACGGGCGTTTTGATTGTTATCATTAGCCCTTTAGTAGACTTCAGTCTTCACAGAGGGGAAGGAACATCAAAGTGTAAATAATTCGAGAGGGGGGGGGGAGACAGAAGAGTGTATCAAAGACGAAGGTAGATAAGGTGTCAAAAAGGTGGGATGAGTACTGTGAAAGTAGTCGAATATGACGTACAGTGGGGTCATGGTAATTTGAAGTCCACTGCCAGGTAATAGACTTTTTGCCGTATGAGTATACGTTGCCCAGGCTCCACCACGTGGTGGCAAGTCTATCACACAACCCTTATTCAGTAGGATTATTGTGGATCAAGTGTACACGCGGGGAGCTTAGTCATGATCAGGATGGGGGATTAGGTTAAACAAACGGAGGCTACTGATTGGCCACTGTTTGTACAGTCGCTGCTCACAGAGTTGTACGGCGCACCTCCCAATCCTGGCCTGCAGGCATGCGATGACACGTTAAACGATGACGTGTCCCATACACTATTGTGCCCTCTTTATGATCTTTAAGCCTTACAGATTTAACTCCTCTAGCATAGAGAGCTCGAGTAATTTATTAAAAACCAGAGTATTTAATAATTAAAATTAAAAATTAATTTCCAATAGTCAGATATGTAAATACAGCAATTCAGAATTAAAAAAATTGTTTGTTAATTTAAACAAATCCCAATTAGAGTTTGTACTAAGAAAGTAAAGCAAAATGTCGATAGATCTGCTTCTATTTCAACATCGGCGTCGTTTACTTGGACGTGTTGATTGTCTCTTCTCAGTGGCTTCTTGTTCAATTGCAGCAAGTTGTTCCATCAGTCCTACGCTCTTTGCATAAAGCTCCATACTCAAATCTCGATCTTTTTCCACTTTCTCTAGATATTTTGACTTTGCTTGAAGATACTCTTTGTAATCGACCACTTTCTTTTTAAGGCTATTCCATCGAAACGAGCCGACTTCGGTAGTGGGCAATTTCGATAAAGCTTCATTGCAATCTTCTCTCAATTGTTCCTCTTCAAATTCATTTTCATATGGTGGGACTGCCACATCAAGCATAAACAAATCATCTTCATTTCCCTTAGCCATTTCCCCTTTGTCTCCCACGTGGAAATGGAGTCAGATGACCTATTGCTGATTTCAATTGATTTTCCACTCTTGTATTCCGTTTTTACCAATTCCAATTCGACAAATTAATTTCCCTCTTGATTTGCTTGTCTTAGTAATGACCTAACGCTTAATAAGATTGTTTAAGGAAAACTAGAAAGATCTATCATTGCCCCCCCCCAAAGGTGGAATCACCTTCGTTGCAACCCAGTCGTGTTTGGCTCTGTTGCTGTTGCAGGTCATAAAAACTACTTAACAGTCCGCTACACTTTCATGGACGCAATTTCTCAATCCTCTAGGCAAAATGTAAACTCAATATAATGTATGTGTGTGTATGTGAAATTCGATGACGAATTAGAACTGAATTGCTTAAAATTTGGAAGAGAAAATTACTTTTAATCATTAGGTCTAAAATTCGGCGACGAATACAGGGAGGAACACTATTGTGCCCTCTTAATGATCTTTTCACTCCTCAAACAGAGGGAGGGAGCTCAAGTAATTTATTAAGAACTAGAGTATTTAAAAATTAAAATTAAAAATTAATTACCAATAGCCAGATATGTAAATATATAGCAAGTCAGAACTAAAAAATAGTTTGTTAATTTAAACAAATCCTAATTATGGTTTGTACTAAGAAAGTAAAGCAAAATGTTGATAAATCTGCTTCCTTTTCAACATCGACGTCGTTTACTTGGACGTGTTGATTGTCTCTTCTCAATGGCCTCTCTTTCAATTGTGTTTAGTCGTTTCAACACTAATAAGCACCTTTTATAATACTCCTGAGACGACTCATCATCGTGCTTTACAGTATTTAGGTGGTCTGCCTTCGCTTCTAGATAGTCCTTGTACTCGAGAACTTTCTTTTTAAGGCTGGTCCATCGAAATGAGTTGACTTCGGTAGTGGGCAATTTTGAAAAAGCGTCTACACAATCCACTTCCAGTTGTTCTTCTTCAAATTCATTCTCAAATGGTGGGACTGCCACCTCAAGCATGTACACATCATCTTCATTTCCCTCAGCCATTTCCCCTTTGTCTCCCACGTGGAATTGGAGTCAGCTGACCCATTGCTAATTTTAATTGATTTTTCACTCTTGTGCTCCATTTTTACCTAATTTCCCTCTTGATTTGCTTGTCTTAGTAATGACCTAACGCTTAATAAGATTGCTTAAAGAAAACTAGTATGACCTACCATTGCTCCCCAAAAGGTGAAACCACCTTCGTTGCATCCCAGTTGTGTTTGGCTCTGCTACTGTTGCAGGTCTCAGTATCTGCTTCAGTGTGGAGTTGAGACGCTAATTCACCCAAATGTGTAAAGTATAGAACTTCTCAATATCCCCCCCTTATTTATTTCAGTTATTTATCCATACACATTTGGCGCCACCAAAAAAGATGGTTTAGTTGTTATACTTCGAGTATTAAATCAAAAAATAATCTTCTCCAAGAAGGGCATTTAGATTTGAGGAAATGAAATCGTTTTGTAATTAGTACACAATTACATATTTCACGAAGCAATACGAGTGATTTGTATGCACACGTAAAAAAATGGTCCAACATTTTAGGTGATTAGAATAACAAAAGAAGAAGCAAAATCTATTGAGCAAAAAATATCGAAAGTAGGAGGGCATCTAATGGGACCATTCAACTCCTGCAAAACACGCTGTAACCGGATCAGGAAGTCTCACGGTCATGAGGAAGGTGGAAAAGAGTTGAATGCAATTGATCAGTGTCCGCCGATCAACAAATTCCAGAAACATCAGTTCCTCGATGTGGGCAGGAAGGTGCGATAGAAGACGAAGGAAGAGATGGAGCATATCGGGGTAACGTTGAATTGTCTCGCGATAGTGTTCCAATATTAAATGTCGTGAAGCCTCTGTTGGCAAGGCTTTTTGAAGTAATTCACCCCCACAATTTGCATGAATTCGAACAAACTCACACTCCGTGGAATCGTCCAATGCCTCCACTGATGCCTCAGATCCCTTCCCAACCTCAGAGCGTGGGAAGAGTGGAAGGATATATGTGTGAAGTTGAATTATCAATCTTCGACGAAGTAGCCACGCTACAAGATCCGCACATTCCGTTGAGCTCAGTTTCGACCAAAATTTTGCAGGAGATTCACCACTAAATCGCTCGCCAAGAGTGTAGTAATCAGAAAAGGACGCAAGCACCTAAGAACGAAAGATAAAAAGTATACAATTAAGTCGGTTTCATAACTCTGCATGGTTTGGATGAATCGCATTTACCTCGGCAAAATTGAGTTTGGGGAACTGAGCAGCGAATTGAACAATGACCTTGGGTTGAAGCCAATAGTGTGACAGTGGTGCTAGTGTGTAGGCATTTGTGGACACAATGGGTGAGATTATGATGGCATGACCGTGATAGATCAGCCAAAGAGCCACTTTAAGGCAATCTTCCTGTGAATGACCCCTATTCGACATCGAAGCCAAGCTGGAAAGCGGTGATAAATCCTCGACGAAACTAGTGGAGGCAGAGGAGCATGTGTAAAGTTCAAGTAAATGGTGTGATGCGTGCACAATAATTCGTAAGTCTGCTCTATCTCCTTAGGCACGTACTGCCTCATACCTTTGAGTGTTGTAATTACAGTTAATGAGTTTGATCTACTGTGCATTCATAAATAGCAAACGCTCGATGACACAACCCCCCTCCCTCATTAAACCCATGTTAGAACAAACACAATCTGACGCTTTTCCTTCACATCCGACTTTCATTTCCTCTTCATCCGCTCTCGCTTGCCTTGCATTCCTCGTTCAATACACACGTAATCAACGAAAGGCTATGATAGCCCGTTAATCTCAAGATCTTGACGCCGGTTAAGGTACCTTGGGCTGGTTCCTATAGTAGCATTTTTGATTGGATCAGTGTTACTTTGATGCGGCTTTGTGATTAACGAATAACCAGTACACATCAAGGCATAGTTAGGACATTTCATCAGAGGAAAGCTTACCTCTCAAGGGACTGATTCACATCCTCAGGAAATGACCCAGCATAACTATGCAGGAAGCGTTTCCGCGTAGTTAGAAGAAGCGTGTGGTAGGGTCTGAGTCGCTGCATCGCCCGCCACACAGCTCCCGGTCTGATAGCCGGCCAACATGGCCGAGGTGTGGTTATCATTTTCATTCCAAAAGGCATAATACCATAGGCTTTGAAGGGCAGACAAAAAAACACGGAGTACTTATTGTAGATCTATCGAAGAACAAATGCATTAACACCATTAAATCCAAATGAGAAGTTGTTCAATGGATTGACCCCACAAACCTTGACATTCACTCGGCCACTTGAAGTCACCTGAGTTAAAATTTGTGCTAATTCACCACAGAGTTGCGACTTTTTAGCTATGTGTCCGTATACGCGATACGGATCGCAATGGCTTGAAGTCTCAGCATCCTTTAGCTTGTCGAGTTTAAGGTTACCATCATCTTCCTCCATAGTGCTGTCAATTGAAGTCCGTTTGTGAGAATTCATAAGAGGAGAATTTGATGTCGACAGTCCCGATGCCACCGTCTCATTATTTGCCGTAGTGGAGCTTGAAGCAATTGAATCTACAGCCTCGTCCTTTGCTTCGGCTCCGGAAGAATTCGATTCAGACTGACTCTCCCCGCCACTTAATATTCCAGCATAGCGATCAAGAATGGCGGAAATCTTTTCACGTTCTCCATTCAAGTACTGCCAAAATAGTTCTGATCGACGTATTTGAGCTCCTACCTGCAGATAGAGATATAAAAATAGGAATTCATTTCTACTTAGATCGGGTTAGAGAGTGAAGGTGATTTCGATTAGGATTCGAGCATTCAGTAATACCATTCGCATGATTTATCTAACGCTGCCTACCATAATGATATTTACTGGGAGGCTATGTAGGACAAAACTCGTCGAATGATATTAGATGAAAATGGAGTGAGCGATTGACTTACCTCCACGTGAACCCTGGGCAATGCATATTTATACGGCAAAAAAGTCTGTAAACCGGCAGTTGAATTTTGACTTTAACATGATTCCACTGTATGCCAAAGACGACCACTTTCACAGTACTCACCTCACCTTTTTCTCTGCCTTTGTGTCTGTCTCTTAGATATGTGAGTCACCCTTCTGTTCCCTTCTCCCCCCCTCAACATTTTGTGACTTTGTCTGTTTCTCCCCTCTGTGAAGCCCGAACTCAACTAGAGGGCTAATGAAAACAGTATGATGGAAATAAAAGATCTTACAACTCATAATGCATAAACGCAGACTAAATATGTGGGCTAAATAGAAAGATAGCGTTTAGGCGAGATAAAAAAAATAAAGTCAAAGACAACATTGAGGCTGCAAAAACACATTGAACAATTCTGCCGATAAGGTGGACTCTCCAACCCCAATCCTATACCCCTCACTACACCATCATTAGAAATGGCAAAACAGTCCAAGGTCTCCACAACGGTTTGACTCTGTCATCATCTTGAATTTCAACAAGATTTTATCGGAAAGAGCACCATTACATCTTCCGAAGTGTAATGGGCTTCACCGGCTCGAAGAGCCATGGCACGCGGAAATGGTTTGAGCCCCCCTACTCACATTTCAGAAGACTGCCCTCTAGTCATGTCAGAATAAATTTAAATATTTGTTTTTTTCCAAACCTCCGCTATACAAGGGAGTATCCCAGCCAAGATGAAAAATAAAAAGTACCATAGAAACGTACTAGTGTGCTTAACTGCATTACTTCAATAGGAAAAACAAGCCAAAAAAAAAGTGAAGAGAGGAAACTCTATGAAAAAATTTTTTCCCCCAAAGTGGACTTCCACGTAGAGAAGTGGAAATAAAAATGAGTAGAAGAAGTCTCCAAACCTGTCGAGCAAGTTCTGTGAAGTGCGACTGGACACACGGCGGAGCGGCCTCGTTAAGAGCAAAGACAATGGCGAAACTTGAGACAGACTGATTGACAGTCTTGGCGCAAGCTTTTCCACCCGCACAATTTCCAAATAGCGTGCTGCAGTGAGGAGCCTGGCCACAGCACTCAGTACTAAGAGGTGGGGATGGCGCCACCTTGATGAGATGAAGAAAATTGGTAATGCTAGCGAAATCCACGGACTGTTTGGTTAGTGCCTCTACCGGAGTGGTGGCAGAGCAACTACTAGCAGCAGAAGTGGGATCCGCTGTGTGTCGATAATTAGTCGGTGGCGATGAATGAGTCACAACGGAGATTCCATTAGTTTCCATGACAGCCTTCGTGAGACTGAATGCCACTCCAACAAATATTTTGGCACTCAACTATAAAAAAAAGATAAAGAGAGGATTTGTGAGGGCAGTATTTCACTATTGGTCAAGCCGAGCACGTAAACGTCCCGAATGTTATTTAAAGCAAACGCTATGTTATCTGTGATCTGGAAAGATAAATCCTGCTTTAGCCAAGAGATATTACTAAGCCCTCTAGGTCAATGAGCAATGTCATTTCAAAATAGGTTCAGAGATTGAAGACTGATTGCGAAATTCGCCTTCTACTTTCCTTCTACTAGCTATTATTTATTAATCACCCGGTTAGCCATTCCGAAGAGTTGCAAATGAATAACTTGCGACAAGATGAGTTGACCAGTATATGAAACATTGATAGTCATGTGGCCACGGGTGTTTTACCTCATGTACACCCCCTTTAACGTATCCTCTTGTCTTCTCCAGGACAGTAATAACAAATCAGCTCACATAAAAAATCCCCCCCCCCATCCCTTACGTAATTATATTTTGTGTCTTGTAGTAACTGCATCTATGAAGGCTCTATGAGCAGTACTAATAGGGGGGCAACATTTAGATAGCTTAAGAACTATATCAAGGCCATAACTACTAAACTTTCTACTTATATCAAATAAGTAAAAAGCTAACCTTGACGTAGATTTTGTGTTGGAGCTCATTGGTGGCGGGATGTAGAAGACTGAGGAGAGAGCTCACAGGCACATCCTCGACAATCATTTCCGTGGGAGCTACAGCCGAAGTGCCTGGACCTGAGCCCGTCGCCCCTGAAACGCCACTCGCGTACCCACTAACAGCTCCAGGCGTGGTAGGTGATGAAACGTTACCAGGAGTTATTGTTGTAGCCAGCGAATGACGCTGTGCAGTGGGACGAGATTTGGCGACGTCAGCATCTACACCTGACCCAGTTGAGATTGATCCTGTGGACTGGTGAGGAGAGCCAATTACGAGGGAGGACGCCGGTGTCCCTGTTGCGCCAACAGCCGGTGAAGAGCATAATACTCCCTCAAAGGAAACGATAGGATAGCGAAATTTCTTTTTCTAATCCATGAAGGATCTCGTTCTTACTCTCGCTTTCATTAGGAAGATGATGGGTTAATAAACTGGCCGATAAGCTCCAGACATCAAATTGTCCCATGAAATCGGCGATGGAAATTTGGAGCAGTGATCGACACCCATTAAGCAAAACGTGCAAATGGAATCTGCACATCAATTGAAGTACCAGATATGTAATGTATTGACGCTTTGGTAAACAGTCCATGCCGTCTTCCAAAACACTAAGTTGTTCAATTAATTGGTGCTCTGATGTGTTCTCTCGATAAGAAGTTGTAAATCCGTTCAACTTCCGGTATTAGGATGTGAAGTAGACAGAGGCCATATATTGAAAATAGGTCAAATCACTTTTGTTAATAGAACAACTTTATGATAAAAATATTAAGTTAGTATGCAAACAACTGTTCGTTCACTCCATCTCTCTATCCATTTTTCAGTCAAAACAACCAATTCGAATACATTCTACCCAACGAGTCTTTTAAATTTTCATTCTATATGCAACTAGGACCTCAAGTTAGGAAAGACAGCCATTCACAACCATTTTCCAAAAATAATCGAAATGATACCTTTCAATCGTTATACAACAACAAATCCAGAAAAAAACATAAATAGCCATAACGAAAAAACAAAATCAGAGAGGTTTAGAGTAGAGTAGGCCAAATAAGCGAGAACCTAAATCCTAAAGAACGAAATTTATGGCTTAATATGCGCCTCCTGGTTCATTAACTAATAACTACTTGCAATATTTGAGGGGCCAGTTTTTTTCTTATAAAGTACTTACTCGAGTGTTTACCGTTGAATTGACACCCTGAGGACTATTTACAGGTGAGTGGGAAACGGTAGAACCCTGGCTCTTAAATCTACACAAGAAAAAAGTGGAGCCAAGTCATAGTAATGTAGGAAACTGCATAATAATAAATTAGTTGCCTAGGACAAGCACCTGGATTCAGAGGGATCGTGTTGAAATGAGTTTTGAGGAGAGATTGTGGACTGCCAAAAGAGCAAACGATCGCCAACGGCTCCAGAAGAGATTAGAAGAATACTTCGAGGCATGATCTCCTCCTCATTCCAAAATATCACACTTGAATTCAGCGAAGCCATTCAAAGAGGAAGCTAAAAGGACATCGGTATATTGATTAATCTGTCAATATTTAGTGATCCCATTAAGACTTTACTATACCCAACAATTGTAAAAGAGGAATTTTCGGAAGAAAAATTTATTGGACATTTAGGCAACGTGAGTGACAGATAGGTCATTATTTTGTACAGATAATTGAGAAGATGAAGAGTCCTTTGATGAAGATTCAATTAACGAAACACGAATGTGAATGGACGATTTCAAAGACGGTTTTAAGGTTTCAATTATTTCAGCATCAGCTGCAACACGAATTCGCTTCAAAAAATAAAAGAGAAAGTAGAAAACAATATCAGGAGGGAAAAAAACCAAATAATTTATGAGAGCTCACCTCTTCATTACAATTAATAGTATCCGTATAAATAAATAAAGAGAGAAGATTGGGGTAGATGCGGTGGCAGAGATTAAGGGCAATTTCAGAAGCTCGACCGATAGCTAATCCACCAGAAGCATGAAGCCAGAGAGATTTACGTTTGGGATTCATAAAACGGGGAGGGTCGATCAGTCGATCGACAATATTTTTGCACATGAAAAGTTGATCCTAAGTTACTTAGTATAGTAATGAGAAAATCAGGCTTACGGATAATTTCTTGTTAGTTGTTACAAAGTAATTATACTGATCGCGCTGTGCACCATGTTTAGAAATTTGAACAGTATCTTCAATTTGTAAAAGATCACTGATTTCCATGATGACTAGAGTTCTCCGGGTGGAATGTTGAATGAGAGACGATCACCAAGAGATCCCCAAGAGATTCTATTTTGGTGGTAGATTATGTTCCAGGATATCAAGCCGATAATCCAAATAAGAGCGCCTATAAAGCTCAAAGATAAATCTGTAAGAAGGGCCGAATTAAATATAAGCCATATAGCTCACAAAGACGGAATTTCTTTCTCTCGTTAGACGCTGGTTTCAGAAAAGCGTCAGGGAAAAACCAAATAGTGTTGACAATCCAAACAAATGGAAGGAAAGCAAGTCCGACTAAAAGAAAAGTAATTTATTTTAAATATGGAGATTGGATCTTTAACAATTAAATGGACAGACATTGAGGGTATTTGGATAACAAGTACAGCATAAATACAAGCCAGTTATATTAAAATAAATTAATAAAAAGCAATGAGAAGAGTAGTTAAAATTTCAATGTAATAACGAATTTGAAAAAATACCAAAGAAATATTTTCTGCAAGTAGATAATCTACCGCTCGGGACACCGTCCATAAATTACCACAGCCTAGAAAAATTAATTGTACCGCGTTTCTTCGACAATATTACATTTATGTGTATTTGCTTTTTTTAACCACTTCACGTTTTGCACATTTATTATTAAAATTATCATTTTAGGGAGCAAAGTAATGCTACTTATATGTTTCTCTTAATTCGAAAATTGAAACAAATGACGAAAAAAATTTGTGGGACACGTCATCGCATGCGCGTACACATAGGCTTGAGCTGCGGCTGTACAACCTCACGTATGGATTGAGGACAAGAGCACGCAGCCAATAGCAGCTCAATGGCCCTCACTTGTTTTACCAAATCCGCCATGTTATATGACTGAGTTTCCTTCCCTTTCCTTACCCTTTCTGACCCTTCGTGTCTGTTTCTTTTACATCATTGAAACACCCTTCTATTCCCCCTCCTGAATTCTTCTCACTTTGATGTTCCTCCTCCCCTCTGTGAAGCCCGAAGTCAGCTCCAGGGCTAATGATAACCATCAAGATGCCTGCCATTTGTTATAAATTAATTCAGATAAAAAATTTCAAGCACTGTCAATCCGTGACGAGCAGTTTGCGTGAGCATGTTGAAAAATAATGATAAGCCTATAAAAAAGAAGACCTTAAGCAAAACAGCGACTCTTAAAGGTTTCAAAACCACCCACAACACACGCTCTACTACGCACTTTATTCACGCAAGTGTTCTTGCCTCACTTATATCAGACTCTTGACTTTCCATCGGTATTCACTCGCTATGTCTCGATGAATACTTTGATTTTACATTATCATAAGCCACAACACATTCCAAGATAACTCTACCTTGAGGTAATGGGTAACGGAAACCAGTACACAATTAGTCCATTTTATTTACCCTTTACAAAAACTAACCTCAAAAGAGAACAATTAAAATCGCTAGCAAAAGTCCACAGGTAGCAGAGATTCCGATAGATTCAACAAAAGTACTAATTACGATTGCTCGGAAGTAAATGCAGGGGTGATTACGCTAAAGTTGCATGCATCAGGCATGAATGTTCGCACATTGTCTTCAACATAAAAACAATCAGCATAAACTCGATAGGACATAAGATTAATTTTCATATGAACCGAAATTAAAAATACCAAACCAGTTAGCAGATCAAATATCAAAGCGTCTAGTAAAAATATTAATAAGGTGATAACCAATAATCTCAATATGTACAAAGAAACTCAAATTACAAGGTGTTATCAAGACGAGCAGTTTGATTTTGAATACGGCCGAATATCTTGTTTGCAGGTGCACCAATAATAAGATTACAAATGGCTTTACGAGCCACTGCAATACGCTCATGACTGCCCAATATGTGGATAATACGGTCAGCAACAATAATGCGGGTGCGAGTAGCATTTTCGATGGAAAGACGAATACGACCATTACATCCACAAATACGACCGATTGCACGAGCCGCATGATCTCCCTAAAACATCAAAACAGTGGCAATGAAATAGCCGACTAGAAACCAAACTAAGCACCATAACTATTCTTACATGAATACGCTGTCGAACATCAGAGATATGAAAGCTCTCTGCGTAAATCCCATCAATGCGAACAATAGCAAGAGCGTCCTGAAGACTGAATCCCTTTATGAAAGCTGAAACATAGTCAAAGCCTCGTTGAAGATACTGTGGGTCAGGGGTGTCAGGAGAATTTTTCAACATAACTTTCCAAGCCTTATTTGTTGTCTTGACGCAGACCATTAACTTTAAATTTTTTGTAAGCGTCTAAAATTATGCCAAAACAAGGAAATAGTTAAAAATTTAGGCTTGAGAGCATAAACATTATAAAATATCATTAAAAATAGTTGAAAATCATAAAATACCTCAGCAATGGTTTTCCATGCATTTCTTAGAGGCGCTCTTCGATTTTGAGGAACAAGAATTGATCTTATTTCAGACATGATGAAAAACGAAACAGGATCCAAAGAACACGATGACGGCACGATAACAACCGCTAATTATATCGGTCGTTCAAACTAACATACAGTTTACAAATGAGACGTCTGATAATTCTAAATTAAATGATTACATAAAATTTACCTCATTATTAATTTATTGTTTTACAGAATATCATCACATGTTTATGATAGATTTAAGAAATCTTAATAAAACAAATTAAATGTCAATACAGAATAATGTACTCAGATTAATCACTTCGCAATGATCATAAACGAAGCATATAATTGTTATTAAGGGATCGAGATTATTTGCTGAAATGGAAAATAACATTTCCTTTTTGGATAAATTATAATTATCTTGAAATTTATATAAAGTAAATGTATTCCGATATCAAAAATAAGTGAAGAGAAGGAGATAATTAAGATAAGTAGAAATGAGTACGTAATGTATCGAATTAATAAAATTAGATGTATCTCATTGGTATATTTTAAGAGTGGATGTTTAGATTAAGAGTTACTAATGTCCTACCTCCAGAGAGAACGAGAAACCCACTCAATGTGACATTCGACCAATTAAAGAGTACGTAAATTAACATTTTCACATTTGTGCCTGTCTATTTTACATTTGTGAAACACACTTTCAACCTCCCCCCTTTGATGTTCCGAATCACGGTAAAGCTCGAAGATAACTTCTGGATTAATGGTAATTTTCCTATAGCCTCCCATTAGAAATAAATGTTTTTCAAGCTCAATTGCATGGACAGTAGTTACAGGAACAAATTCATTTAGGTAATAGTAAAAGAAACATTTATTTGTTACAGATTGCCGCTGTTAATGGACTAAAAATCGCAAATGAAGATAAAAATTAAGCGACTTATAAAGCCATAAAGGTTTCACTTTAACATTATAACCACATTTATGGAGCTCACTCTATTAATGCGACATGCCTTTTTCTTTATCAATTGACATTTGTAAGATTCAAGCCATAGAAAAATATGCATGATATAAATCAAGAAGGTTTCACACTTTTATAATAAATATGACAAGTTTGTTTTATCCGGGATAAGATATTGTCAGTAACAATTTGGACATATGTGCAATTATGTCGAAAAAAATTTGATATTTAATATTTGCCCCATTTCAAAGGAACTGATAATACTAAGAAGGCAAAGGTTCAACCTGGGATAAAAACGAATTTAAATAACAAACTCATTTGCAAATTCCTTTTCGTTCTCATTTAATCTGAGAACAACTTCTCTGTCCACACAAGAGAATCGAAATTTGACCCTGTTTATAAAAGTTTGTCCACGTGATTTGATATTGATGTAACTTATACCATGGAAGGCAACCAGTGGGCTGCCGTCTTCGTTGTTGCCCCAAAAGTTGGATGGTTCAATTACTGTTACATTTCCACCGTCAGAACCACCCAAAGCATCCAGATGCATTCCTCGGAGTGTGGTAAACACCAATTTATCGATCAACCATCCACTATTGATTATCACGCCAGTGATAATGTCATCGTCCGGAACTTGAATTGTTTTTCTAAAGAAGGATTAGTTTGGCTTATTTATTTGATCACTTTGTGTAAAGTTCCTCATTTTCATATCCCCACAGTACCTCTTCCTTCAATCCAGTAATCAGATTTTCATAAGTTATATCAAGTCCTATTGGTGCAATAATCAAAAATAGGTCTTATACCTTACCTGCCAGAACCTGTTTGTTATCCCAGGAACGACTTACATGGCCAGTTATGGCACACACCTTCCATTCATTGGGTGGATGTTTTTCGCAAGAAACCTTGGAGCCCCGTAGCTCTGAAAAGCTAAAATCTCATTAAATGCCAATATATATGGACATTTACTTGTAGTCATATGCGTACGAATGGTAACCATATGAACCATTAATCGGGTCCTTCAGGCAAAGTGGAGCTAAATAATTAACAAATCACAGTCGATTATGGCATCCTTACCCAACATTGATTCTTCTGATTTAAACTCGATTGGAATTGGGATTGCACCATGAATNTAAGTAGAAAGAAAACACTACTTTATTAACTTCCTTTACGTAGCTTCTCCCAAAATAGATATAGCCCTCTGTACTCTGCATCCAAAGACTTTTCTCTTCGATTACTTTTAGGATCCAGTCTAGGGGGACTTTTGAAAGACACAGGGGATCTAAAAGGTGTGATAATGAAAGGATCTCCTTACTGTTAAAGATTAAGGGATGCATTCTAAACATATCCAACATAGTCTGGCGAACTTCCATGGAGGTCGTTTTCTCGAAGACATCAACAAAAATACGTTGGAGAGTTTTCTGCTCTTCTACATTGACACTTGGCTGAAGAAGAGTTCTCATGAAAAGTACACGTAAAGCACCAGAACACACAGCATATCCTATAGGCATATCAAACCTTTCACACAGTTCGATATACTCGGCTATTGACCGATTTTCTTCCAACATTCCCGTGTATGCCAGAAAGAGCAGTGATTTCAGTTCGTCTGCTGAGTTAGTCAGACTTGAAGGGATTCGAATGATGCGTTTACTTCCATCACCACGGTGTGCTAAAAGAAGTTCTTTTAGACGATAAGACAAGGCGCAAACTGAAGAATGTGCGTTCACTTCTTCCTCCTTGGAACCGACTCTCCACGTAACATCCACCAACTTTCCTTCTTTGTAATAATCATACATCTTGTCTTGAACAGCAGAGAAATACAGGGAGTTATCCTCATTATTTCGAACGGACCCCATCATTTACTAACAATATTGTGTAACTCAAAGGGTTACTTAATTTAGACAATGACCTTGATTAGTGGTTTGGTAATAAAATAGTTTTTAATGAAAGAGATTTGCAAAATTTTCAATTTGATATGCGACCAGATATAAATCGATATACATTCAATTTTTATATTGTTCCATGTTGCAAGTTTCAATAAACAGCCTTTTGACGCCACTATTTTTACATTTTCTCTCTTTAATTGTTATATATTTTTTGTTCTGTACCATTACTCTTCCATGTCTTTGAAGATTGTTTTCGTTGATATTCTCTTCTTGAAAGCATTTCAAAAATGAAATTACTGCCTTCAAGTGTTCGTTCTATATCAAACTTTTAATAGTGCTCTTTCAATCCAACGCTAGTCTGAGCGCATTATAGACAGTCTTAGGTCAATCATTCTTATCTTAATATAGAGACATACTGGCATTACAATCTCGGGTTATGCTTTGAAAAGTCTGGGTTTCATTAAACCCAAACCAATCTGTTATGCAATGAAAGTGTATTATGATGAAGTAAAATAGTATTTCTTTCGACTAAATTTGTTTTCGGGCCTCTTTCTATCCAAAGACACCTCGATGTTGTTCATCGATATCTGCATAAACGACGATAGTATAATTAGGAGTTAGATTAGCTTAATAAGAGGCGATTATTCTTGTGAATTTTCCACTTCACAACTCCAGAAATTGATGAGCTTGGTGGATTCCCACTAAACTTAGCACAGTATGAAAGAATAGTGGAAGTTAAATGTGTTTTACTTGTTACTTAAATTCAGAACAAAAATTGTGCAAATGAGTTTGTGGTGGTTTATTACAAGAATAAGCCTTGATTCATGCTCAGTAAGCCCTGTGGCAAGATCCCCCAGTAGAGAAGAGCTCCCAAAGGCAGCTAGGGCACCTCGACGATATGGCGGTAACAGACATTTGGCGTACAATACGTTCGATCGGGTCATGTGGCACGAACGCAGGTCTTAGTCATTAAAATACACTTCTGGCTAGGCTGACTTTGCCGTAACCATTGATTGTCAAATGACTGAGAGGTCAATGTGCTCACACTGCACATGCTTCCTAACACGATTGTCAGCATGTCGCACTTGATGGCTATGGGTCAGTGGTACACCTCTCGCTCTAGAGCGTTCTAGAGCACGTGAGGTACCTTGGTTCGGCCATGTTAGTGTTGCGTTCTGCATAACTTTATTCTTCAATGATTTAAAGATTATTGAACAAATATCTGTGAATAGGTCAAGTTTTAACTTTAACACTTCAGCATGATATTGATAGGCAGTGAAGCGGATGACAGAATTCTGGTTATTCGTCGCAAATGCTCCATTATTCTACTACTCAAACAAGAATTAATGCTGTAAAATGCTTTCCGAAGTGGACGCGAGCTCACTACTGAGCTTACATCTATCGAAAATCTTGAACATTGGAAACGCAGTCATCGTTAGTCAGTGGTTTCTGGGTGGCATATAAATCAGTCAAAATCTGTTGCTTATATAAATTGTCAGCCAAAAGATGTAGTGACCTATAATCACCCAGAGAAGTATGTCAAGGAAGGCTCAAGGACACATTTCCGTTTAAGCGAATTTGCTCAAAAGGAGATCCATATGATCCTTCCTAAAGTGTCTTTTTCATCACATCTGATGCCCCTACTTGAGCCGCTTGAAATGTTATGCTAGGTGGTCTGACTCAGCGAAACTCCTAAAGCAATTTGTGAGTTAAAGTTCCTCAAAATCGAGCGTTACCATATCAGATGCAGTAAAGCAACATTCCCTATCCATCGAGATGTTGAACTTTCGCTGATACTAAGAAGCAGCATAATTCATAAGAATACCGAGACACTTTGATTAACATTATGAAAAAAAGATGGAGTTATGTAAAATATCGGAACCACTTGAACGGATCTCGAATATTAAGAAAAAGAATTCATAACCGGTTTTCGCCTTAAATGGTTTTCTCAGGTATGAGGACTTAGAATAGCGAATAATAATAGTTGCCAACGGAAATACTCTTAATTGGGGCTTGTAATGACAACGTTAAGAGATAATTGTAGACTTTTATTATTTGTTTAAATTCCTACGGATTTCACAACTCTCCCAAGGCTGAGTAAAGAAGTTTCATACGTGCTAGAACAGCCTCGGAGGTGTGGTCAATCACTAATCAATGACCACTGCATTGCTAGCGCACCTTTTGCTTTTATTTTAATGACCGATCTTTGTGCCACTGTGACACGCAATCAGAATGAACACTGTCCACTTTATACCCTCTTCCGTACTATTGATGTGGCTCAGCTAATTTTGCGAACAAAATCATACATGGGAATTTTGTCATAGAAAGTATTTCTGAGATTTGGTAAAGGCTTACTTGTGTGACCTCCACTACATCATCATCATCATCACTCAACTTTACTATTATCTCAGGATCTATTTTTTGCCTGACATTCGAAAAAATACTAATTTTATCTGAACTTACCAATAGCATTTATAATTCAAAGCGAAATTTTGCCCATTAATTTAAAATGTTTTATGTGTAACATGGAAGATTTTGTTATACTGTATCAAGTTGGAACCGCAAGTCCCTATGTGTGTCAATTTTTGGTAAGTAGGAAAAAAATTGTCGGATATTTCCCTCAAACAAATGGTTTTTCAAAAAATTAAGTTTAGATAAATTTGATGGAATCCATTTTTCAAACCATTCGTAAGCGAACACGTGTTTTACATATATAAAGATAATACTGTCCAATGACGAGTAATATTGTGCATTTGGGGAACTAGTTTATTTTAAGAAGTTCCATAATAATTGCCTTTAATTACTGGTGCCCAATATCAAAAAACGCAAATGTCCACTGGCCAGAAACCGTTTCAGGGGTAATACACTAATTGTATACCTCTGTTACAACTTGCTTCATACCTTAGCATGTTGTGATCTATACGCTTTCGATTTTCACCCACCAACCACATAATGAGGGGTGATATCTCCAAATGTCTGGAATAAGAGACCTCCATTCTCGTACCCATTGGGATAGCAAAGCACTCATCAATATGGATGAAAATGTTGGCTAAGAACGCACAGATAGGCACCAACATAGAGACCAATGAGAATGTCAACGCATATTCCATCCCAGCTTCCGTTTTGTGGCATGAATTCTAACTAAATGGGATGTAAGTTTAGTGAATTGGATGCGTAATGCTGCCATCACCTTTGCACTACCGGATTAGACCGCAGATGATGGAAAAGAAGCCAAAGACACGAACTGACTCACGGCTTAGTTCAACAGGAAATTAGACCGATTCGACAGCAGAGAGATGACATTTCGCGTCTAGAACTAATCAAAACCTGGATTAACTTAGCGCAATAAAAATAAGCACCTAAAGATTCTTGATGTAGAGGTCACCTTTTTCAAAGCAATGATCCTTCAAATCTGTAGAGATCTATGTTCAGATGTAGTCCTTTAAGAATTGTAATCGTGCATCTAATGAATGGGGACTCCGCATTTCACAATCAGGAATTCAAATTAACCTCACAAAAGACTATAACCAGTCTCCCGACTCTAAAGAAACAATCTCATTCACAGACTAGTCATCTACGACAGTTTTGCTATTTGCTCGGTACTTGAATGAATATCTTAGTATACACAGTATATCCCACACACTCACTTGTGTATACACACACACACACATATATATATATATATATCCATTTATTTGCATAAAGTACACACTTTCGTGCTTACCCCATCGTATAGGTAGTGAGTGTAATTGGAAGAAATAAAAGCCAATAAATATGATACAACAATAAACTTTCTGCTATTATTTTGTGACATTATTATTTAATAAAATTTGAAAATTCGAGCAACATATGATGTATTCAGGGTTTTTATTTCAATGAACAATTTATGTGTTTTAATGTACTAGTCTAACCTTATACCATCCATTTATTGGACAAGATACTTGTTGATCTGTTGTGTGTGTTGCTGCTGTCTTTACATTTCTTCTATAATGGGGAAAGGATACAATAATTATATGTGCAAGAAGTTTTTCCATCCTACTAATTTTGAAAATATCAAAAGAAAGTGGATGGCCGAACAGGAAAAGGAGTTTGATAGCAAAAAGGAACAGGAGAGACTTATCCAGTATCAGCGTGAACAGGAAGTCCTGGAGAATCGCGTTTTACTTGGTGATGAGAAGGCGAAATTGGGTTTGGCTTGGATGTACGACCAACCTGCTATAATGGAGCCAGAGAAGGAATCGAATGACAAGAATGAAGTGAAGTTTGAGTGGCAACGTAAGTACAACGCACCACGTGAAACCTACTGCAAGAATTCCGCCGATGTTACGGATCAACCTTTCGGCATCGAAGTGAGGAATGTTCGCTGCATGCGTTGCAAACAGTGGGGTCACTTGAACACCGATCGTATATGTCCTCTTTACGGCAAATCCTTTACGCAGGAACCGGCTAAGGAAGGAAATCTGCGTTCGATCGATAGTGCTAAGACGCATCTGCGTAAGGAAGGATTGGTCTTTAAAAAGTCCACAGAAGCGTCTGGTTTGAGTGATATGATAAGCAAGGCGAAACAAGCTGCCTCTAACTGTACGAACATTGATCCGAAAGCCGTGGAACATGAATTGACAGTGGAATTTCTCAAATCACTTAGCGAAAGGCAACGTGAAAAGCTTCTAAGGAAACTCAGTAAGATTTCCTCTGACAGTGGTTCCGGATCCTCTAAAGCACAGAAAGTGAAGAAGGAAAAGCATAAGAAAGATAAGCATTCTTCTCGTCATTGACCACTTCTCCCCAAATCCCCTGTACAGTGTGTGACCTTTGTGATTTGCTTTTTGTTGTGTTATTGTTGAAATAAAATGAGATCTTGTATTTGAATTCTTTTCCTTTTTAATTGTTATTAATTTGATGAATGGTATGCACGTGGGGAACTTGGGGATCATGTTATCTTGTATATTGTTTCTGCTGACTGGTGACCATAGCTACTGAATTGCGTATTATATGCTATTGAATTTGTCGGTTTTTAATTAGTCTAATTAGTTATTTGTGTCGCTCATAAGGGAAATTGGCTTGTAGATGGGCTTTTCTGTTTTGTCTTGTTATGGAATTCTTGTTCCATTCTAATGTGTTCAAAGTGAAATACTATCTTACATTCTACGTAGTCTTATGGCAGTATTTATGATAGCTATCATTAGCCGTTTCTTTAGTTGACTTGGGGCTTCATAGAGGTGAGGTGCATCAACGTCACAAAAGTCGGGAGGGGTGGGGTGTGGTGGTGGTGATGGGGGACAGGAAAGTGACTCACAGTTGGAAGAGACAGATACTAAGGTTTGGGTGAGAGGCAAGGTGAGTACTGCGAGAGTGCTCGAATATAACAAACAGTGGAGTCGTGGTAGTTTGGGGTGAGAAGTCAATTGCCAGTTTATAGATATTTCTGCCGAATGGGTATATGTTGTCCAGGGTGCACCATATGGGGGTAAGTCTATCGCACACCCCACTATTCGAATTATTTGTCGAGGTTTTGTAGCACTTACATGGGGCCTTTTTTGCCATTGCGGCTGAAAGTAGCTTAGTGACCTTATTTGACCTTTTTATGGTCTTACAAGCTCATTCCGTAATTATACAATAATGATAACAATCAAATGTCATGCACTTTACGAGCAGATGTCTGAATCTAGTTTATGTTAAGACAACATTTTCTCAGCACCTTTTTGAACTTAAAATCCTGTTTTATTGTTAAGGGTCAGCGAAAGTAATAGACATTGCATCCTGCTTTTCTTTCATTAAAACTGAAAGGCCTTCCAAGCTATTAAGCAATTTCTGCCATTTGTAGTCGGTTGCTAATAGGTACTTAAATTAGGATTGAATGTGGGTTAATTTATTTAGAATTGGATTTGGCCACTGTGCAAAACAGTTATGGCCGAAGTTTGTTGCCAGAAGTCCACCCCATTGAGTGGGAATAATTCTTCATCATGGAAATGACAAGATTCGCTTCTCAAGAATTTAGAGAGTGGTTTCGGAGTCTGCACTTGTTCCCTCGTATTGTACGTCAAATTGAACGCTGTTATTTTGCATTATGGGAGTGGGGTGGTGGTGATGGGGGGGGGGTGTGCGATAGACTTATCTCCACGTAGTGCACCCTGGGCAACTTGTACTCATACGACATAAAAGTCTATTATTCGGCAGTTGACCTTCGATTTCAAACTACAATGACCACACTGTATGTCATTTTCGACCCCTTGCACAGTACTCATCTTATCTTTTCTACGAATTTGTGTTTGTTTGTCTCTTTTACATATGTAAATCATTACTGTGTCCCCCCCCCCTCTCTCTCGACTTTTTGTCACTTTGATGTTCCTCCTCCTCTGTGAAGCCTGAGGTCAGTTAAAGGGCTAATGGTGATTATGAAAACGCTTGCCATTTGAAATAAATACATAAATATCCACAGAATTGTAATATAGTCAACCGAAATTTCACATACTCCCATCCACATTGGAGAGAAAGAGAGAGGTTGCAATAAAGAGAAGAGGATTTTTCGGCCAAGGAGTAGCTTCAGCTGAATGTGCAAGAGTGTGATGGTAATTGTAATAAGAAACAAAGGAGTGCATTAAAGAGTTTATCGAAGGAAATCGCATAGGTATAATGAGAGCGTAAGTATACTAATGATGGTCGTTCCGCTCACTTTGGAGTATAAGGTGACTATTTATAGAAAATGCCTGCAATTGGTCAACTCCACCCCACCCCACCCAACCCCAAACCTTTCCGATATTAACAAATAAGAGTAAATACCAAGCTTATTCTCAAATACTCACCTTAGAAAATTCTGTTCGCAAAGACCACATAACTCACCTCAATCTGAAAGTCGTTTCCACTATACAACTCCATCTTCTTTCCATACTTCTTAGTATGATCATCCAGAAAGTCCTCCGGTGTATCCGGATCGCCGATTCGGTAATTAAAGATGAACTTGGTGTGTATTGGATAGGCAATTCCACCACCGGATGCAGTGCATTCAGCAGGCAACTTGGAGGGCTTGCCAATATGAAGAATCCTCTTCCGAATATTGTGATTCATCAGGTAAGTGGAGGCGGCTGACAGTGGGGGTTTCTTGTTCGAAGACTGAGGAAGACCATCTTGTCGGGCCTTACGAAGAGCATTGGCCATTTGACTAATCAACCTTTCTCCCTCTTCCTTGGAGCTGACTCCTCCGTCGTCAAAGTGCCCATTATCACAGTCATCACCGTGTTTAGGATTCACAGACTTATTGGTGTCCTTATTTGCTAATTTGCTACTCCCAGAGTTACTTTCCTCTTGGTTCGATTTCACCCCCAATTCTCTATGAGTTGAAACTTCGGAGTTCTCTGAGGTTGGTAAAGACACATCTTGTTTCCTGGTCATTTCATCCTTGTCTTTATCACTCATGGCCTGGAAGGAAAACGTAGAGAAGATAAGACACCTCCCTACTCAAATATGAGTACAGATTTCTCATAAGAAAAAAACTTCTAGTGATATAATTGCTCTGAAACAGTCTTAGTGATAAGCTCTCATCCAGCCATTTCTCTGCATCACATCTCTAACCTATTACCTCACATGAGACAAAATAGCCAGTTAATGCAACACCACTAAAATGAGTGAACAATTAGGCATATCTGGTAAGAAGTAAACCTTTTTCAATCAAAAGTATTTTTTACTTAAACCTAGGACAGGGTGAAGTTGGCATAAAGTTCCTAAGGTCACCATTTCATGGGTCGCTCTCAACACTGAATGTCGAAGTTGTGCTGAAAGATAACGCACACCCTACTATTAACGCAACATTGTAGGTTATAAACAGACTATCACAGACAAACATATGGTTTCGATCAAAAAGCACACATTTTTAGTCATTAATCATTGTATTTCCAAACCAATGTCATCGGTTTTCACATCATTTAGTATCACCTTTATTTTGGTATTACCAACTCGAGAAGACAAAGAGAGAGAGAGAGAAGGGAAGAGAGAAGGGAAGTGAAAAGAGGGGGATTCTCAAATAGCCTTTGGGATAATTGGGTTGGTGGAATTGACCGATGCTAATTGGTGCAGTCGTAGGAGGCAACGCCAGAAAAGACTAGCTGAATGGTTGTAGATCCTCCGATTTTGAGCTCCCTTCCTTCAGATTACTCAAACGCCTCAGAATCTCATCTAATTGTGAAGTGGTTGACTGTCGAATCTCGTTCAAATTTGATGCCAACTAGAAAATACCTAAAATTGATTTTAAACTATTAAATATCATCATTACGCCCAAAGATTACTTTTATAACAATCGCTCTAAATTCCGTGAAAAGCACCCTAAACCAGAAAATGAAACAACGCATTTTGTATAATTCAAATGTACATTTTCTGAATAAGCTGGAATCAATAAACATCAATGATTTCGACATTGGCTAACGGGAAGACGTTAATAAACATGCACATCATCAAAGAGAATTGCTTTTCAACCAGTTATAGTACAATCACCTTGTAGCGTAGAACGGTACCAAGACCAATCTTGAGTGATGGAACATTGGCGAAGCCAATCG